CTTTGCTTCATTAGAGAGAGTCATCCATATAGGTGATTAGTCTATCCCTACTCTTCTAGTTACTGCATTCGATGTGGTTAAAATATATGCAAGGCTTCAGAGGTCAGTCTTTTTCTCTAAGTGAAAGTCTCATCCTAGAATCACAATATATAAAGTTTACTAATGAAGTAGAATTGGATGAGGGAACTTTAAACTTTCTGGATTGTCTTGTTAAAAAAAAACTGACGAGAAATTAAAGTTCACAATATGTAGGAAACCGACACATTCCAACAAGTATTTGAATTTCCAATCAGATCATCCAATAGGAATGAAAGTTTCACTAGCTTTAAATCTCGTTAACAGAGCTACAAACATTATAACAACAGATAATGATGATATGGAGAACGAGATCTCCAATATAAAACAAATTTTGATTGGAAATGGTTATCCGAAAAAGCTACTAAATAATATTATCAATAAAAAGGACCAGAAGGAACGACAGAAAATTGAAAAAATCTTGGCTATCGATCGGCGACAGCCATTGCATATCGAAAGGAGACACAGCGGAACAACTTCAAAGAGTACTTGCTTCATAAAATATTAAAGTCTATTTCAAACCCTCTTATTCTCTAGAGAAAACTTTGATGAATGTCAAAGATATGGTTCCCAAAATGGCAACTGTGTCTATAGGATAAATTGTTCAGAAGTGAAGCTTACTTGCTATGTAGGGGAGAGCAGTAGAGTAGACAGGTGAAATTCAGAGTGAATGAACATAGACTGTGCATGACACGTCCACAAAGGCATGAAGTAGAATTCAAGAGTCTAGAGAAAGGATGCGCATTACGGATACATACTACAGACAGCGGACATAAGATCAATTTTGACAATGTTGAAATTCTAGGAAGAGGCTTTCATTCACATATAAAAAGGCTAACCCCTGAAGCCTTGCATATATATATATATATATTTGACGTGTTCCCCATGCAACAAACAATATACACATGTGCACACTCACACAGATAAATATGCACGTGTGACAATTTAACATTAGTCATTACAATATATGTGATGACTGCTTACATTTTTCTATTGCTACAAATGTCTACTGACAAACGAGCTACCTTCAGTGGCGCTCACTTCAATTTATGCAATGTTTGACTGTATGATTTAAAGGCTGACAAAGTCCGAATAATTCTGCTGGATGAAGAAGCTGGCTGTGACTTACACAGAGAGAGAGAGTAACGTTCAGAAAAAGAATCTTGTTTTGATTTTTTTTGTTTGCTTCAACACACTGGGATTATTTTAAACAATTTATACCGATTTCTTATAGTTTCAACTTGATTTCAAAAGTGCTCATCATGCTTACAGCTCCTTTTGTTTTATTCAATCGTTCGTTTTTTGTTGTTATTGTGTTGGTGAAGTCAGTGAGATGTGTGTTGTGTGATACTACTACTATTACTACTACTTATAATAATATTAATAATAACAATAATGATTCTACGCGTATGGCAATTTGTACAACTTTCTTTATCTCATCACTGCTCAAATACACATGCTCAAAATTTATATCCTATAACACCGTTGAATGATTTGGATTGTATTCAGTTTTGTTTTAGCAACTTTTTTTTCTTTATCCTCTTATAATTCATATCAGTGTTCAAATAACTCGGTGTTCTTTCTATGTTTCCTTTCAATCATCATCATAATAACAACAATAAACTGATTTAATTTTTCATTTTGTGATGGATACTTTACTCACACACACATGCACACTCGCGCGCACACATCCACATTTGATTATGATTTGACAAATGTGGTAACGCTGTGTGTGCTGTATGTTGTACGCGTATTTGTGCACCGCCCAGTGGAGTCATTCTCTCGAAGTATATTCTTTACTACTATTATTATTATTCAAATTAATTACTTAGTTAATTGTTGCACCCTATATAACACAAAATGATGATTAACTCTGTGATGAACTTACGCATATTTACCCTACTTATAATATCTTCATTTCTTATTTTGACGAGGTTTTTGTCTAGTGCCTTGAGGGTATTTGGAACTGTAGGAATACTGATCGAATATCTGTTATTTTTTCATCCATTGAATCCAAAATTTATTTGGAAATATTGCTGATTGGTCGTCGATAGTGTCTTTTTATCGCTCGTCTACACTTAGGGCTGACGAAATTCTACTGAACAAGTTTACAAGATGATTGACTAAGTTAGAAAGTTAAAATCTATATTGTTTCTGTGGGTTCCGAGGGGAACATGGGACTTCAACAACACATCTCCACTCTGTTCTCTTGTTTCTACTCTCCTATTCAGCTGGCTGACCGACCCCACGATTACTCATAATCTCTTATCTCCTCCATGTCACTCTCGCACTGACGACCCATTCTTCTTTCCCTATTCGGATTCTAATCCAGCAATGGTCTGCAGTGGGCGTGATGTCATTCGACGGCCTCCTCAACGTGTACCTGATAAATCCATCTCCATTTCCCTCCTACATATTTGTTGAACAGCTGGCTCTTGGCTGATTTGTTCCCATAGTCTCTTGGTGCTAATTCTTTCTTATCGGCTGGTCACTTCATCTTCAATACAGAGGTAGAGAAGGCAGCTATTGATAAAAGTCTCTAGGACTCTGTTGGAAGATGTTTTTCGTGATGCACCGGTCACGTTTTTGACCCAAATAGAAGAGCTGACTGACTTAACATTCACACCGTGGAGTTCAAATTTCCAAACTGGTTTCAGGTTGATGAAGGTGTATCTTGCCTTTCCGATTCCGACTGGCTTTGAAATCTTCATGCGTTCGGTCACCTGTGGTTGAAACGATGCTTCGTAAGCCAGATAAGTGAAGGAAGTGACCTCTTTCAAATCTCCCCCGTTGATGATGTTGATCGGTGCTGGTTGTTGCTGATTGTTAGTTAGTTAGTTGGTTATCTTCATCACCTTCATCTTCTCTATGTTCATTTGGAGTCCTGTCTTTGGCGCCTGTTCGAGTCTTCTGCTAGCTTGTTGGTTTTTGCCTGCCCGCCTACCAGTCCTTAAATTCGTGTGACATTATTATAAATCCAAATCTTCTAAAGTCTTCTTATCGGTCAGCTCAGCGTATTCCTGTCTTGTCGCACCCCACGTACAGTGTGCTGCATAATCCAGTCCACCACGATTAGGAATATCTTTGGTGATAATAGGCAGTCAGCCAACCTTGTCTTACTCCTGTACTCACTTCAACGGCTTCGTCGCTGAGTTTTCCGTTGTGGATCACCTGACACGTGACATTGTCAAATAGAGCCGGCCAGTTGCTGAATGAGGTTGATAAAGATTTGGGTTTCTGCACGCCTTAGTGTTGAAGTTGTTTCCAAATTACTTTTTGGTCAACACTGTCTGTCGAAGGTCTTTTTGAAGTCGATGAAGTTGAGGTGGAGAGAGGTTTTTGCTGTCATTCTATGCCTTCTTCCGTGATGATGATGTTGATGCGTAGAGTTGCAAATTGATCCTCACAAAATTCTCCTTTCCTGAATCCCACTCGTTCTGGTTGGCGGAGTTCTGCATCCAGCGCCTCTTCAATTCTCTCCAGGATGATGCGACCTGGTATTTCAGTTTCTGTAGAGAAGAGCATTATTCCACACCAGTTCTTGAAGCTATTGGTCTTTCTTTGGTAGCTAAACGAAGTAGACCGTCTTCAAATCAGCAGGCCCCTCTCCTTCCTTCCTAAGCTTATGCAGTAGTGGCGCCAGCATATCCGCTGTGTTCTAGGTCTACTTTCAATGCTCTTCAGGCGAAAATCCATCTGGTCCTGCTGCCTTCCCGGAATTATCAGTGGTGATTAGTTTCTCAACATCTAACACTACTCATGAATACCACTTAAAAATGTAATAATTTAAGACTTAGTAGTCTGTATATATTCGAACTGTCAGACCAAAAGTTAGTAATACTCACATCGATTGCATAATAAACACCTTATAGGATTTCATGACTTCAAAAAGAAAGACATTAAAATCTTATGGCCAGTATAATTTTTCTCTCAAACTTTATCATTTAATTACTTGGGACTGGTTTTCAAACACTCATTAATTTGTACATAGGTCACCTTTCTTCTTAAATAGCTCATGAGAGATTTGTGTTTCCTTCACCGTTTCAATATTTTTATTATCTCTTAGGGCGTTAACGATTTTTCATATTACTAAGCTTCGAAAATATCTGAGTTCTGTCAAAGATTGACAAATTATTCTGACAGGAGGAAGTCTACTGTTTAACGTGTAATACGTAGATAGGAGTGTGGTGAGAGCTCTCTTTGTGATCTGCCTTATCCTCTAAACCCTATTGTTCTTTCATGTTGTGGTGAGAGCTGTCTGCTGGCCGAAATTGTATACTACAATTTACGTCACTGTTTACATTCCGAATGGAGGTCATGAAAAAAACCAATAACAAAGCTTAACCTTGATGAACTCAACAACCAATCACAGCAGACTTAGCGTGGGTGGATATGAATCGCAGATATATGGTCTGACCTTCGAAGAAATGGATACAAAAGATGATAGAATAACCTTGAGCAAGCAAACAACCAATCAGAAGAGATTGCTACTCTGCTAACAATAACGCTAATACTAATGTACATAAATATCTATTGATTTTCTCAATAAACGATCTGTTGCCTGGCCCTTGTCTTCTGTCGTTACGGGAGGCAAGATGAGTATTCATAGTTTACTCTCGGTGATAGATAGGTTGGTTGCTGTCATTAACAGTAGTGGAATTCCTCAAGGAAGTGAAGTGAGTTTAAGGAAATAGTGACATTGGAATTTTTATCACACAAAAGAATGTTTCCGTCATTGTGACTTTGTTATTCTTTTTACAGTGATTGTTTTTCTTGAAAAAGCAATTAAAGATTCTTGTACTTTCAAATCTAATCCTTAGAAATCAACTCTTGAAAATGTTAAAATAATATTAATTTTCACTAATCAATTTTTTTTTTCATTTTTATATTTTCCCTCCGAATATATATATTTGTGTATATACAAGCTGGTTCTGGTCCAGAATCGTCGACACCACGATCATCGTCTATCGCGCCTACACTGCCTAGTCGTAATCGACCACCAGTACGTGGTTCTGGAATTACAGTCCTCGGTCATGGCACTGGTGATGGTCCGTATTATTTAACTCCACAAGATGCTAATCGTGCAAGGGATAAAACACCACAAGGCAAAGTATGTGTAATGTTTTGCTTTTTGTTATTGCATTTTTTTATGCTTTCATCATTACACTAAAATAGTTTTCTCTTCTTGTTTCGTTGTTCGGCATTATGCTATTCTATACCTAATGGTTTAATGGTAGGTGGTGATTTATGTTTGAATTTGTTTTCAGCTGAATGCCTACAAACTGGTTTGGTAAAGTACATACAACGGGTTAAAGAATGCAAATGTTCTTTTGTTTACAGAGTTTCATCATGAGTTGATATAGGTTAGAGAACTATTGGGAAATCAGCTGGGAGAACTGGACATCTGTTTCCTCCTAGTTTGAGACTCAGTCGGTCGGTGAGTCTACTAATGAAGAGTCCCAAACTAGGCTGACGAAACAGCTATCCGGCAGTACTCCTTGGTGGTTTTTCAATGGTTTCTTCTTGACCAATGTCAGTTCATAATGATGTACCTACACTACTCAATAGGGATTGCAGGTACACCCACTGAAGAGTCCCGAATGGGACGAAATGCTATTCATCCACCACTAAATAATCCTCAAACATCGTTGAAGCTTCTGTAGTAGAATTCTACATGGTGTTAACGCAGACTGAGCATTTCAGTTTAATACAAAATTAACTTAAACTGTTTACTGTTGTTTTTTTTAAATTAATATTTTTTATAGCCGTCAGCTAACAACAGTACTAATGATAATCGTGAATGGAACAATCCATCGAATTGGAATACAAATACTACACCTGTAAAATCACAGTTAAGAAAAACATCATCTCCATCAACACCGACTGATTTCGATGCGTATTATTCATCACATCAAACTGGAGGTCATAATCTACCACCACCAGTGCCGCCTAACTATCCTGATGATAATGACGATGTTGATGTCGATGTTGACGGTGATGACGGGGGTAATGTTGGCTATGGTTTAGATGATATTGACGATGAAATGACTAAAACAACTGTGGATGAATATATTGAAGATGATTTAGACGCGTCAAGTTCATCACCACCAAATGATCATAATAATATTAATAATAATCTACCTAGAATGATACCAACATCTTCAATGAAACCACATGATCCTCATTCTCATCTTCATCAACGTTCTAGTCCTAATCAACAGCAGTACATATCGAATAATTATCGACATAGTGGAGGTGTTATAGATCCTCATCATTATCAACAGCAACCGCAGCAGCACCACCAACAACAGCAGCCACAGCAACACCAAAGACAAACTGCCTATAGAGGTTCTTCTAGACTGGATCAACGTGGTGTATTTATGAATACAGCAGAGATGGAATATGGTGAGCCACCGTTTGAAGATTATGTTATTGTTAATTCAGATGGTTCAGGTAAGTTTATGTGGTTTTCATCTCTCCTATCCTTAAAAAAATATATCTCTACAGTCAAGTTAAATATATATGTATATATATTATATACAATAAAGGGGGTGGGGAATTGTGTAAGAAGAATCCTACAAGAACACTGTACTTCACTTGTCAGTGTCAAGTGTGATAGAGTAATCTGTTAACAAGGCAAAGCAGCGGGACCTAATGGAATGACTGCAGAAGTGTTTAATATCTGCGTTAACTGAGGTATTAAGGCAGCATCTAGGAATCAGTGGTAGTTCCTTCGGGCTAGTGTGCGTCATTGATTATCCTGGCATACAAGAAAGGAGACAAGTCTTCCTGTGATAATTCACAGGGGGGATTAGCTTGATTAATAGGTTACTTAAGGTTATAGGCTCAATAATAATAATAATGCGTAGACTAAGCGGTTTTAAACCAGGAAGAGGGTGTATTGATCATATCTACACCCTTCGACAGATTCTGGAACATAGGCATACTTACTGGTGGCGTCCAACAATCGTCAAATTTCTTAACCTGAAAGCGGCATTCCATTCCGTTGACTGAGAGGTACTATGGCGATGTTTGACTTTGAAGGGGGAGGATACCGAGAAAATAAATAGCAATGATCAAGCCACTCTACTCGAACTCATGCAGCCAGCCAGGTGAAAGCCTACGGAGAGTTGTCATTTGAAGTGATGACAACCAATGTCCCCATTTCTCTTTAATTTCATCATGCATGTACTAATGGACTTAACCCTAACTGACTTCAGCGACTCAGGGATTGACTTATTGTCAGCGTATTAATAACCTCGTTGACCTAGAATATGCAGATGATATAGTCTTCCCTCCTGGGTGAAGACTCTGACAAAATAGAGCAGAGTCTTCTGGACACCTTGAGCAGTGGAAAATCTTTGAATGTTTAGCATGCGATTGGCCCTGCTAACAAATGTAAGATGATGCTACAGGACTGGACTACTGCATTGACTCCTAGCTTAAAGAGAGGGAGTAGAGCGGTGGAGCATGTTGACCACTTCACTTATTTGGGAAGTTGCATCAGTCAACCCAGCGGGTTGATCGCTGAAGAAATCTCAGAACGGAAACAGAGCTAGTTTCGTATATGCCAGTTTACGCCGTCTCTGGCGTAGACATGATATCTGGCTATCGACCGAAGAGCGGGTGTACTGATCAGCAGTTCGCTTCGTCCTCCTTTATGGTTGCGAGTGGAACATGGAGATTGAGAGTGGAAGACATGAAAAGCCTAGCTAGCTTTCTTTGATCATAAGTGTCTGCGTTCCGTCTACCGTGTTAGGTGATGGCATAATAGGGTGAGTAATATTGAGGTCAGGCATCGGTGGTCGAGTGCTAGGTAGGTGTAGGCAAGGAGGCGAAATCAATCGACGAGATTGTTGTGAAGCTACACTATAACATCGGTTGAGAGAGATGGTTAGGACATGTGTTACGCATGTCACCGTGTAATGCCATTGATCACCTTCCTCGACCGGCGGGGCATGTTAGCTGACTAACATAGGATGGGTGAGGTTAGAAAAGAGCTAACACACTGTGTTCAAACGAAAACGGTTTCATCACTCAATCAAATGCATAACAGTTAGTTTAAGCCAGTGAACTACATAGGGAGATGCAGACTTCCTGACTAGTTGGGGTCCTAGGGACGGTAAGAACCAATGTCGGCTGGAGACAATTCGTGATATGGCTTAAAGTCGTTGTCATTGGCTGTCGCAGATGCGTTCACTCTTTGTGATTTATAATATCCAATAAAACTCTGTTGTTCTTCCACATTACTATTCTTCTTCCTTCACTCACACTTCTGTTCATTATCCCTCCATCTTTTGAATCTCTCTTTATTCTCTTCTGTTACAAGGAGGGAATGTGGCAAATGAAACTGTTTTGCCCATCTGTGCAAAGTTCTATGTTGAAACCAGTCAGTCAGTGTAATCTAGCATCTCAAAAGAGAGTTTAAGGCGCATTACTGACACCGTTTTAATCACTCACCAGTATTCGTTAACTGTGTCACTGTTAGCCAACTTATCCTATTCTAATGTGTCCATCTTAAATGAGGAAAGTTCATGTGCCTATATAAGTGTAGTACTTGAGCCACTGTGGTTGAGTATAATTTTATATGAGATAAGCTTATATGTGCGATGTAACATATATTGATACAGTATAAGCAACTGGATGAAGTTTTATCTGTGCCTAGTTGGATAAGCTGGTACGAATCGTCTCCATCAAATACGAGTTATGCATGTCTGTATTAGTAGACATTAATGTCTGTTCCGTTTTTTTTCAACTGTAATATCTATTCCGGTGATGTGTTCCGATAAATTTAGCAAAATTGTCTATATATAATTTCACAGATTAGTCGATTAATTCTGTTCATCACTATTGGAAAAAAAATAGATTCAGTGATCCCAGTTACATTCGCCTTTGAAAGATAACAGTGGCATTTTGAACTATGCAATCAGCTGACAGGCTCTAAATCAGCCAGACAAAATATCACTATATATAATTTAGCATTACTATATTACTATATACCTGTCAAATTTATAACACCTCTATTTCGAAGTAATATTTTTTGAGTATTGGATTTGTAAGGATTTTGTTTTTCATCATGAGCTGACATCAGTTAGAGAACCACTGAACAATCTGGGAGTACTGGACAGCTGTTTCGTCAGCCTAGTTTGGGACTCTTCAACAGTACGCACCCACCACAGGGGTTCGAACCCAGGACCTTCTGGTTACTAGGCGAGCTCGTAGACCATTGAGCCACTGGGATCCGATCCAATGGTCCTTGAATTCTAACTTCTGCCAATTCACGACATAGTGCGACCATTTCGCAATGTCTTCTTTGATGAGTTACTGCCTCATCTTCAACCTGCTGTACCCTACTGGTCACGGCTTCCCACTAGAACCCAGGTTAACTGCCTGAATAGGGCTAGTCGCTAGTGAGCATCAGATTAATTTTCAAGTTTTGGTTTTGTAGGGATTTTGTTTGATTGGATGGAGGATTTCATCATGAGCTGACATCAGTTAGAGAACCACTGGAAAACCATTTGGGACTTTTCAACAGTACGCACCCACCGACAGGGGTTCGAACCCAGGACCTAATATTTTTTGGACTAATTGATTGAATCGACCGACTTCTAGAGTAGACGCGTAATCTGAAAAGAAGAATACGGATATCATTCTCTACTGTAAAAAATTTGATCTTACTCCCTTTATTGAAATTTAGCAAATGGGAACCAAGTGTCTAAAGTGATGGTACGATATGATTAAAACCGAATGGTGTTCGTTGGCTCATGATACGAAGTCAAAACGAATATACAATTGGAAAAATAATGCGTTTACGGTTCCACCAACCACTCACGTGCTCCGAGTTCGGTCCCTGTCTGACTGACTGACTGACAAACTCCTAAACTCTAGCTTAATTTACTAGATTAATAAATTATTGCGCAATAAATTACACTGAGAATCCTGTACATTATATGAACACTTTGTTCAGAATAAGGCTATTATTATTATTATCAAGAGTTGGTTTGTAAGGATTAAATTTGTTTTTACGAGTTTGACCAAGTGTGAGGATGGATTTCCCACCTATGACATTGGTTAGTGCCAGTCGCGCTAAATCACGAATTGTTAGAAGTTAGAATTCATGGACTGGCCATTGAAGAGTTGGGTCCCAGTGGCTGAATGGTCTACGAGCCGTCTAGCCTTGTAACCGGAAAGTAGGTCCTAGGTTCGAAACCCTGTCGGTGGGTGGTACTGCGTACTAGGCCGACGAAACAGCTAGCTGTTCTGGCAGTACTCCAGTGCTGGTTTTCAATGGTTCTCTAACTGTTATTATATTACTACATTATTATTAGCCGATAGTATGGAGTAGAGGAATTTTTGGGCGTGAAGGCTGACGACCTCATTCTGTCTGTAAAGACAATACTGCTATATTAATACTTCAAAAGCTTGAAACTTTGTGTTCCACTCGGGAAGCAAAGGACAGAAATATTTATTTAAATAAAAGTAGGCGAAAGCCTGAATTTGCATAGTCATATTAGCTTTCTAAAAGATGGTGTACAACCGTTCAGGAATCAAGATAAAGTTCTTTACTTTCTTAACAGTCTCAGTTTCCAGTAACAACCTCATATCTGTAAATACGATGATAAGTAATAAGCTGGATGTTGAGGTTATAAAACGTCATCAAAGCAAAAGAAGCAAGTGTAGCAAGTGATGTAGTTTGGTGATTCCCCTTAAGATAAGTAGGCTTGGACTTAAATGCGTCTGACTGACTCACTGGTTTCACCATAGAACTTTGCACAGATGTACACCAGTTCCACACAGCCCTCCTTGTGGCATACAAAACAAGAGAAAAGAGTATAAAGAGATTCAAAAGATGGAGGGATAATAAACAGAAGTGTGAGTGAGGGAAAAAGAATAGTAATATGGAAGAATAATACAGTTTTAATGTATATTATTAATCCAAAAGAGTGAATGCATCTGCGCCAGCCATTGACAACGGGGAATTTGAGCCACATCAACAATTGTCTCCAGCCTTCATTGGTGTTTAACATCACGAGGACCCCAACCAAACCGCCAGGCAGTTTGACTAACTGGGGCTTTCAACTTAGAACAACATTGCACCGATGTGCAGTAGTTCGAGTCGCCACACTCCTTCCATGTAACACACAAAGTAAGAGAAGAAAGTAAAAAGAAATGCAAAATGGAAACAGTAAACAGAGATATGAGACAAAGAGGATAGTAATATCGAAGAACAATATAGTTTTTTTTTGGGTAATATAAGTCACAAGGCAGTCTACACCTCCCTCCGACTATCGACCAAAGGGCGTGTGTACTGCTCAACAGTCCGCTCCGTCCTCCTTTATGGCTGTGAGACCTGGCCATTGAGAGCAGAAGACATGAAAAGATTAGCTGTCTTCGATCATAGGTGTCTGCGTTCTATCTCCCGCGTGAAGTGGAATAATAAGGTGAGCAATATT